TGGTATAGTGACTCTGTATACTCCTTCCAACTTTTTTTAATGCTTCCTGGATCATTTAATATTCTGCCCAAAGCATCCTTAAGTATTGCAACTTGAGGCTTGAATTTGTTTCTCAACTCCTTCATCTTAAAAAAATGCTGAACAATTTTTGCCCTTTTGATTTTCTGACTCCAGTTCCTTGCACATTTCATTATATTACTCATTTTGTCTTCCTGAGCTGTCCTTTGAAATCATCTTTCAGCTCCTTAATTTCTTGATTTCTCCTCTTTGCTTTGGCTTCTCAGTGCTATAGTGCAATATTCAGAGTCTCATCTGATCCATCTTGGTCTTTTCTTCCTCCTCTGCTTTTGTAAAGACCTTTTGCATTCTTCATGGACGCTATTCTTTATTTCTTCCCACATCTTATGTGGTATTACCAGTAACTCCTCCTCATACTTTGTTAGTGCCTCTGTTCTGTCTCCCAGTCTACCAGGTCTTCTGCTGCTTGAAATCTTAATGGCATGTGAGCAGCTTTTGTTACAGCATATTCTAATTGCAAGGACCAATAGAGAAAAGAAGAGTATAAAGAACAGGAAGAAGAAATGTTATGTCTGGCTATCTGCCCCATGAACATTTGAACCCTTTGTCATGAGACCAGAAGAAGTGGAGGTGCCTTAACTACTAGTACTGAATATTTTTTTGGTCAATGATTCTACAAAAGGACCCAAACCAAAATGCATAACAGAATTTCAAATTCTTTTAGACTTTAGAATTTCTTGATAAACTCCTGAAATACCTGCCAATAGATAACCTTTAAATGGTAAATTTAGCAAAAATATACCTTTAAGTCTTCTTAAAGCCAAACAAGAAATAGTTTGACTCGAGTAGTACAGAATGTTTGCCTTGAGTTTTGCATTCTTTTAGGATTATCTATATGGGTGAAACTGCAAAAAGGACACACGGAAAATTTAAAGAAGGGTGAGTTTATGCTAATAGGGATGAATAACTTGGTAGAGAAGAATGAAAATCATTGTACGACCTGAATGTAATTAAAGCCACTGTGTTGGATATGGACAATCGGTTGAATTGGTGAGTGCATGCAGTATTGGTTCTCAACAACCCAACAAATAAATTATAAAACAAAAGAAAACAATGCTAAATTCAGTTCCTAGATAAAGAAATACTCTGAGAATGAATATTCAAGTATTTATTCATAACAACTCATAATGTATAGTCATAAGAACGGCTTACTATATAATAAAGAAAAAAGTGAACTACTGGTATGTTCCACAATAATGAATCTTCTAAACCCTTTGTGAAAGAAGGTATACATGAAGCAATGTGCCTATATGATTTAGAAAAAAGAAAAATAAAACCCAAATTCATGACAGAACCAAAAAACATAATGATAAAGGAAGAAAAGACTGGAGTTGTCACAGTTTCTTTTTACTTGACTCTACAACCAACACTCACAGAAACAGCAGCCAAAGAGCCAAATGATGTATGCAGATAGATGTTCGTTGTATAAAACTTTGAAGTGTTAAAGAGAAATGATGTAATTTTGAAGAGTAAGGTGTGCCTGACTTAATGCATTTTATTTTCAAGTGATATATACACACACACACGCATACGCGCGCACACACACACACACGCTCACACAGAGAAAGGCTGGACAATGAATAAGGAAGACTGAAGAATAATTAGTGCTTTTGATTTGTGATTTTAGCAAAGTACACTGATTATACCAGGTACTGCCAGAAGGACAAACAAATACGTCTTGGAAGCAGTACAATCAGAACGTTCCTTAGAACCAAGGATGATAAGGTCAGAGACAAAGAGGGAGACTCTCAAGGAGGTAGATCTACAAAGTACTTGGAAGAATTCACTCAAATAGCAAGGGGAACTGAAGGGACCACACAATATTTTGGTCCGTTGAGCACAGAGTTATTATTATGTGTTGAAGCAGATTTGACACTATATATAAATAACAATATGATCCAATAATATAAAGTTCAAAAGCAAATGCATTTCACCTATGGTGTTACAAATCCCGATAATATTACCTCTCAGGAGAAGAGAGTGAGGCTTCTAGGATACTTGTAATTTTTGTTAATATTATGCTTCCTGATCTAGAAGGCTGTTAGGAAAGTATTTTCACATTACAGCAATCCTTAAGCTATGCACTTATGATTTGTGCCTATTTCTATATGTAACAAAAATACACATTACTATAAAATTTACAGTAAATGTACCAAATGCCAATAAAATGTTGATTTTTTTAAGAGAACATTTACAGGAAGGATGGGTTTTCATTCATTCATTCATTCATTCATGTTTCTCAAATTTAAATACGAACAAGAGAACTTTGTTATTCTCATTTCGTAGATGCAGCCTCTTTCTAAATGGAAAAGATGATCTATTCCCTCCCGCATGCTTCCTTGTTCCTTTGGTTGTGGTGCATTTCGTGAACTCAATGTACCTGATTTCAAGAGCTTTCTCTACTGTTTCTCCAGGGACTAAATCTCCTGCTGCCTTGTTGGGTGTGGTTTGAGAAGGGGATCTAGTACTCTGCATCAAACGGTGAAGAATTCAATCGCTTCCCCTGCTTTTAGTGTGTTCCTTCCTCCTACTTTTGACAGTCCCCAGGACTGGCAGCTCTGAGTCTCTGCGGAGTTCTAGGTTGCAAATTTCATTAGCAAGCACAAAGGCTTCAGTCTTCTCTGTTCTATGGCAGCTGTCCCTCTTTCATCCTGCAAAAATTCACGAACAACATCTGCTGTTGTTTTCTCTCCCATATATTCTTTTATCCTGGAGGCTGTACGTCTTTTTAAATCCTCTGTGATAATTTTTAGTGAGGTTTGATGAGAGAGCAGAGATAGAAACATATATTCAATCTGCCACATTTGAGCTGCACTTTTCTTTTTATTTATTTTACAGTAATAATCAGGTACAATTAACCTTTAATATAACATTGAATGTGTTTGTGGTGTACGACGCATAGCTGACCCTCTGGCAGGTTTTCAGAGGCAGTTAATCACACAGCAGGAGACTGCCTATCCTCCTCCTGAGGAGCAGGTGGTGGCCTCGAACTGTGTGCCTTTGGGATTGCAGTGTAGCTTCTTGCCACCAGAGCTCCCTAAACACATATGTATATTCCTGTGAATTTTGAGGTTTTGTGTAAGTTACAGGGCTATTTTTTAAAATGGTATTCCTCACCCTTTTGCACTAAGTGATACATAAGATGAGCAGTCACACTTGGGGCTTCTAAGCGCTTTGGGGAGCTGCTAATGCACCGCTGTGTTTTATAATCAAATGAAATCTATAGGCGAGTGTATGCAGAGTTAGTCACACAAGGATTTCTCTGACAGTCATCCAGACAGCACGATGCTAAAGTCTAGATACAAATGTCTACGAAAGCATCTCTGTCACCTTACGTGTTCTGCTTTCTAGTATTCTGAGGGGGAAAGTTCTTTTGTTATAAGCAATCCTGGGCAAACATGAAAGGGAAACTTCTTTCAAACCTTTTGGTTGTTTAAAACAATATTAGCAAGAGATTTTACAATGTCTTGGATTTGGCAGAGTGGAGGGGTGGTGAAGGAGAAGAAGAACTTTGATGAGAATGGATCGATTCTGTGACTGGAGAGGTGGGAATAAGTGCGTTTGAGATGGCTATGTTGGCACAGGATAGAAGAGCGTATAGAGCTCTTGTACATAGGGTTGATATGAGTTGCAAGCGACTTGATGGCACCTAACAACAACAAAACCACCTACAAAGTACATTCATTAACAATAAGTATGATAATTAATTAATAATAAGTGATTCATGTGTTTATTTTCAGTTTCTCTAGAAGTGATATAAAGGTAGCTTTTTCCTATTTTATCATGTTCATTAGAAAAATCAGTATGACTTCTCCTAAATTATGAGAGAATGATGAATTAGTAGAGACATCTGCGAGCTTTTCTGTTGTCCAATATCTATGAACATCCTTTCTAACTGGATGATTTTCCCACACGGTGAGTCCTGTCTTCATAGTCCCGTTGTTATTGTTGTGTACTGTAGAGTCAGACCAACCCATAGCTGACCCTCTGGGGGAGTTTTCAGAGGCAGTTAATCGCACGGGAGGAGACTGGCCATCTTTCTCCCATGGAACAGCTGATGGCCTCGAACCATGTTACTTCGAGATTGCAGAGCAGCTTCTTGCCACTATGTTATAGCCCAGAGTAATTTATAAAAGTGTATTCACTTTATAGGAGTTACACTAAAAATATAACAAATGTCAATAAACTGCTTATTGAATGTACATAAGAACAAGAGAATTTTCTTACCATCATTTCATAGACAGTATGTTTCCTTAATGCTGTAAAAAAAATTAACTATTCCTTCCTCTGGGTCCTTCTTCTCGTTTGGGTGTTTATTATTTATATACCCAATGTACTTCATTCTAGAAGCTCATTTATGTACTAAGCCTTCTTGGCGTCACGTCACTGGGATCTACAGACATATCAGACTTCGCACAGTTTTGATGAGAGTAGCAGCCTTGTTTCTAACAGCAGCAGTAAAACAATTCTGGAATCTAGAGCCCAGTGTTAAGGGATGCGTTCTAGAATCTTCTCAATAGCAGTAGTTATGGGGAGAAAAAACGGTATCTTCCCTAGAGTAAGAAGCTGTATGCTTGGGGCTGGGTTTGGCTTTGCTGCATCCTCCACGCCTGTTTCTGGAGATCTAGTTCATTTCCTTTAATAAGTGATTTTCTGTTCCAGGTACCTAGAGAGGATTCTTCTGTTTACGCCCAACAATCCTAAGAAATTCAGATGGCAAATGCTAGCAGAAAAGGAAAACCACCACAAAAAGAAAATTGAAAGCATTTTTGTGACATTAAAGAGAAAAATCCACATGACTATGAACACATTTAATAGATGCAAAATTAAACCACTACTGTGTACTTATTTTCTCCAAAGCCATGGCAAATTTTAACATTACATCAGAAAACATAAAAATATCGGCACCAAGTTGAACGTACCATCTTTATCAGCTGTGTCCTGAGGCCTGGATTTTAAAGTGAAGATCTTCCGGAGCTTACAATTGGCTGAGACAATAATTCCATCCAATGACTGGAAAACTGCTCCCTTAAATATTTCACTGGTAAATGCTACTAAGTCAATGCACAGGTTACACCACTAAAATAGAGAGTAGCAAAGAAGTGTAAGTATATTCCACAATCATACCCATGAACAAGTCATCTTTATTAAGAAAAGTCAAGGCTTAAGTCAATTATCCCTAAACAATTTCAAGGCAATTCCCCACCCCCCCCCACCCCCGCCAAGGGTATATTTACCTCTGCTTTTTTTTAAATAAAATTTTTATTTTATACTCGTTTACTTACAAAGTTCATATACATTGTTTTTCACACCAGATCTTTCCCATTTCCTTTTCTCACCCCTTCCTCCACTCATCAAATTGTGTGACCCTATGATTAACCTCCCTCCATCCTCACCCTTCTCACTCCCCCCCACCTTGGATCCTCATGCACATTCTACTATAATGATTTTATACAGTATTTGTCCTTACGGGATTGAGTTAGTTCACTTAGCATAATGCTCTCCAGTCCCTCCCAAATTAGGTAGTGATTTCTGTTTTGACTTGAACTTTCTTATAATCCACCTTACTTCTTCCAAAGAAATCAACATAATGTAAACTATACAGTGCTCTTTTCACTATGGAGTAATCACTGCAAGATATGGCAATGGTGATCCTACAAGCTGTCTGCTAGTGGGAATCAGCAGGCCCAATAGACCACTTAACTGTTGAAAATCAGGGATAATTAACCAATTATCCCTTCAAAGGGACTAATTAATTTGAACACAATTAAATATATATATATAAAATACGTGTGTGGGTGTGTGTGTGTATAATCGATGAAACTAGAAGCTGGTTCTAACTGTGGCCAGTGCTGCCTACTTATAACCAATTATCCTCCTCTACAGCGATAGGCTCTTCTTAAGAACTTGTCATAATGCCTAGTGCTTCTCAGTTTTTCAGGTACTCTTGTCGGGACTAATTACTGCCCAATAAACAACGAGGTCCCTCAGCTCTTCATGAAATGAGTTTTCTAAATGGTTTGACTGACTTTTAAATTTTTTTTAAAAGGAGAAAAATAAGTTAGTAAGAAATTAAGGCATATTTAAGACTTCAGAACACAAACAGGAGAATCCGTTTTTAAATGAAGATACACCTTGCATTTACAATTGTCTGGGCCGCCTGTAAAACATAAGAGTCTTCCATTGTTTGTTTAGAGGCACAGTTTACATAAGGGCCAATTTAATAAGCTGTCAAAACGGAAAGTCATCTTCACTTGATCAAATGATAACGAGTTTTTTGTTTTGGATTTAAAGGTAAACATTTTCTCATTTGAAATGTTGGTTTTTAATATGGAGGAGATCCTGAGGTTGTTTCCATAGCACAGGCTCCATAAGGATTCTTTTCTTTGAAGAGTAAAATTATAGGCCATGAGGATGCTCTGGAATTTTAGGAGAAAGGAGTCAGGCAAAAGTAGGCGATAGGACTGAGCGTGGTGTAACAGAGACTGGCCTGACTAGAAAGGATGGAGTGGGAAGTGACATGGAATGGGTTCAAGGAGGCCAGTTAAGGTAGACTCTAGAGGGAGGAGTAGTTAGAGGACCTTGGATTTGAAAATTATTATATTATTTTTTATTAGTTTTTGTTCGTCCTAGAGAGGGTGAGACCAGGCTGCTCCTTGGAGGCAAGGATTTTGAAGCATTGTCTGACACACTTTGGACATGTAGCAAGGAGAGACCAGTCCTTGGAGAGGGATGTCATGCTTGCGAGGGTGGAGGGACAGTGCAAGAGAGGAAGACCCTCAATGAGATGGACTGACAGTGACTGGGGGAATGGGGGTAGGTGTGTCAGAGACAATGAGATTGGCACAGGATAGTGCAGGGGTTAGGGCTGTGTACATGGGGTTGCTATGAGTCACAAGCAACTCAACAGCACATATCAACAACAACATATTATAAATGAGTTAGATGATATAGCCCTTGGGGAAAAAAAGTGGTAAGAACAGAGCAGAGACAGACTGAGACAAAGAAACTAGTTCAACTACCTAAGCATGAATCAAGTTGATTAAGCATAAAGACAGTTATCTAAGCATGAAGCAGGGTGGTGCTGGGAGCAGAATATAAGGGGAAAATCCAGTTGGTTATGGCAAAGAGTGAAACATCTCAACTTGAAGAAATCCAGGCCACAGGGGATGGAAGTGTTAGAGTGGTGAGGTTCCAGATATCTAGTAATAATGATTGTTGTTGTTACGTGCTGTTGAGTCACCTGTGATGTATAATGACTCTATGCACAGCAGCTCTGAACCATGCCCTGTCCTGAGCCACTCTCACTAATTCTGACACACCAACCTTCATTGCCCCAGTTACTGTATTAATCTATCTCATGCAGGGTCTCTCTCTCCTATGCTGTCTGTCCACCCTTTCGGGTATGATGTTCTTCCCCAAGGACTGATCTCTCCTGGTCACATGCCCCAAAATAAGTGAGGCAGAACTTCAAAATCCCAGCCTCCAAGGACAGACTTGGTTTCACCCTCTCCAAGACAGATCTATTTGTTTTCTTGGCAGTCCATGGTATGTTCAAGACTGTTCTCCAGCACCACAATTAGAAGGCATCAATTCTTCTTCCGTCATCCTTAGTCATTGTTATGAATTTTATTGTCATAAATATGTTCTAATTTTTAAAGGTTTTAGTATTTACCATTCAGCTTATGTATGATATTAGTAATTCCATTCATCCATAATCTCCTACAGGTATGAACTAGTTATCACATGTTAGATATTGGGCTTGATGCTAGAGAAACGGAGATAGTACAGTCAGTGCAGCCCAGTAAGGGAGGCGGACATATAGCACACACTGAATATGGACAGAGTGGCTCCTGGTGGGAGTAGAGAGAGGAACAGAATAGCTTCTTTAAAAAAAATTAATTAACAGCTTTATGTACAAATAAAAATTAACCAATGCCAAAAGCTTCTTTAAAAATCTTTTGCCATGTCTCTCTTCATCAGTAATACTGACAACTCTTTTAATGCCTTGTTCCCTCTGTAGTTTAAATCTTCCCCCTTAATCTTCAGTGCTAGGTATTATCTACTAACTTGTTGATATTGTAAATTCAACTTTTAGTTTATTTTACACCTTACTTCAACCACTGTGTCTTCCCCAGATAACTCTCATATTCACCCTTTTCTCTCCTAAAATACATATCTTTGCTCTACTTATTATGTTGTTATTATGTATTGCCAAGGAATTGGAACCGGCTCATGGCTGACTCTCTAGCGGGTTTTCAGAGGCACTAAATCACACCAGAAGAGACTGCCCATCTTTCTCCTGTAGAGCATCCAGTGGATTTGAACTGCTTACTTTGAGTTGGCAGTGCAAATTCTTACCACTAAGCCACCAGAGCTCCTTTTCACTTACGAATATGGCACTATTATATAGATCTGTGCCCAATTCAGCTTTAGGTTACTCTCTCTTCTTCATACAACCTTTGTTAATTCTAGAATTGTAACGGTCTTTTTTAACCATTTATTTTCCTTCAAATAAAGAAATATTTTATATCTTTTTAATATTTTAAGTCCCCTACACTTAAGAATGATGATAACCCCTCAGCTTGGAATTCGATAGAATGTGGTATTTGAGCTGGGCCTTTCTCCTTGATCCCTTCGGTGAACTCTCTAGCTCGCCTACACCATGAGACCCACTCAGTTCTACTAGGAAGCTGTGTCCCCCTCCTTTCCAAAACTCGGAGTCCCAGGAAACCAGGCCCTTAGGTTCACACACTTCTTGCCTATTGCTAGCTATCCTGCTTTTATTCTCTCTGTCTGGACTCACACTGTGGAAAGTACTCAACAAATAGTGGTGTTGCAGGCATGTATGATGGATAAGTGAACACATGCATGTACATAAATTAATCTATAAACAAATACACACAAAGTTCCATTTTATCTAAAACAACAGATGTCTGTGAATTGATGACTTGTATACGAAATCATCTCCCTAGAACTACAGATAGGAGTAGTCCCTGAAAAAGATGAATTTAAGTTTACA